ACAGAAAAACAGATAAGCATTGTAACTATGTGGCCATCTAAGATCATTCTGAAATTAGTGAACTAATCAATAATCAATCAAAAAATGAGCCTTCTGGCTAATGTCCTTAACAGATTTCTCGTAAAATTCGCGGACCGACCCGTTTCCAAAACGCTCCTCAAGTTTTAGTGTGGGTCTACTGATAATGGTGTGTGACTTACTATGTCTATTGAGCGTAATAGCCATCGAATTTCTTTTGCGTACATCAAGCAAGGGATTGTCCGCGAAGGCAGCCATTGCTTTCTTGCTTTAACCATGCGCCCTAGGGTTCATTCTACGCATGCACGTACACTTCAAGCATGCGCTGTAGTGGAACTGCGTTTTGTGACCGAACGMAAAAAAAAACAAACAAACAAAGCCGAATTTATTTGTAGCATATTTGTAGCATATTGTAACAAAAGAGAAAAAAAGGTCAAATAAATCTGATGGAAAAAATGTTTTCGGCTTATCTCAGACGATTTTCAGATAGCAGACGAAACACAGATCGTACCCGGTGTCACCCGGTGTATCTTAAGTTTGATTGGTTTCCCGTGTAACTGAGTACGGGTACAGGTAATCCTACCCGTACCTCTACCCGGAACTGGGCTATCTTAAGGTGTCTACTCTTATGGCTGCATAAGAGTCATTTAGTCATTTAGTTTGTTTCTCATAGTCAAAACTATCCTGAGAAACTGGATATGGAACACAGCGTTAAATTAGAAAAAGACATTTAAAAAAATAGCCGTTGTCCTTCACATTCCCTAGACATCGAAAAGTTTGGTCATTCCACGTTGTTGTTTTGCAGAGGACGCAAAGAAATATAAAATCATTTAGGGTGCATGTGCACAGCCTATGTTTTTCTCCTTGAACTTTTTGTTTAGTGACGTTCCCGACACCTCTGCCCTCGTGTACTATCGGTCGACATGTCGACCCAGTATCGACTTGACACAGCATGTCAACCAATCGATAGTATCGGTCGACAGATGCTTGAAGTACACATGATCTGACTAGTTTACTATTTTTGTCAGCTACGTCTACCTCTTTTCAAAATGTGCTGCAGAAAAATCGATCGAAACATTTGAACTACAAACATTTTCCCGTTTGGAGTGGAAAGTGAAAGAATAATTTTACCAGTAACTGGTTTAGATGTATGGATAGGTTCCACGCACAGAAGATTCTGGCGAACCTTGTTGTACACCTGGGACATTTTGACTGAATAATTTCCAGCCTGGAGCAACTGAGCTTGTTCATGAACTTACATACGTATAATTTTTCCTTTGACTTGCAGCTTCTATATAAACATGTAGGTTCCTTGCCTACCTCTTTGTGTAGATGAGCCACTTTCCTGTTTTGTAGTCGTATGCCTCGGCCAACTGTAGAATGTAATCTGAGGTAATCTTGCCAGAGTTTTCCATGTTACCTTTCCATTCTTTAAGTAAAGAAGCTTCATCGGGGTATTTCAACTTTGAGAAGTCTGAATGGCGCACACTGATCCACGAGTACTGGGAGCAATCGATCTGAGATGGTCGATTCCTCTCCAGAAAAGTATCGATAGGCATGTCACCATTGAAAATAATCCATTCTCCATCGTCATTGTTAGGTCGTGATGCAGCCATCGGAGACGCACAGCAAAGCCCAAGGAAATTAAAACAACAAGCCGCTATCCTCTGAGGACTACAATAATATTTTAGTGTCGTGCTGTATGTTAACTATGAATGTTGATGTTGTGAAATATATTTAAGCTGTGAATATTGATCGAAGGGTGTTGTAGGTTGTCACCGAAACTCGAAGCTTGGGCAGCGGCCAGCGGCAACGGCCACCTCAGCCACGCTCAATCCTTCTCTTGCCAATCTCGAGCCCACGGTCATTCTGGCTCATTGTCAGTCGTTTGGCCGCTCACAGATGTAAGTAGGTCATGTATGGGGAATTATTATGTCCCCAATACATAGAATGTCCTTTACTTTACATATATATAACATCCTAGTAATTTGGATATATCAACAAAATTGAAATGGTAAATTGGCCACCGTAACGATTACAAAAGCTGACGTTTCGAGCGTTAGCGTTTCAAGCTGTATTTCACTGTATTGCTGGTAAAATTGGGCCATGAATCTGGGTGGAAAAAGATAGGTCCAAAACATCAATACAGACCATAAACTCTGTTAGGGTGAGTCACTGGACACCCACACCAAACCATTACCCCTCACCGATCAAAAAATTTCTGAAATACTCAGTATAACTCGGTAAAGTGAAATGAAGAATATGACAGTTGCCAGAAGGCAAACACTTAATTTTTTAATTTTTCATCCGTTAGCTCCTTTTTAGGCAGTGAATTGCTTTGTCCTTGGACTGGACTACCAACTCATTTGGAGAACTCTCTCATTCCTACCATCTGAAATACAAGATTTCTTCTTTGGACTAGTGTTGCCAAACCAAAGGGAAATCCTGACCATGACACCTAACTCAACTGTTGGTTCAAAAGGAAATGGTCCCCAGAAGATCCACCTTGTGTGCATATTAAGTCATTAACAGATGCAAAATTTTAACCATCTACACCCTAACACCATATTTTGGAAGAGGGGATTCATAAAAATATCTTAGTACACCTGGTAAATATTTTACCAAAACTAATTTACTTTTGTATGGAGTTTTGTTAACATTCAGCATAATGATCCTCAGTAGTGCATTGTAAACATAATATACCGTAATTATTGCATTATAATGAACTTCACACATGAAAGGTAACTGCAAAACATAACACTGTCAGTCTCGTGGATTCTTTCTTCAGTGGATAAGAGCTTGAAAATGTTAAGCGGAACAGTCTCAACCTCTCAAGGTTGTCAAAATAATTGTTTGAATCTCCTTTACTAAGAGATTTAATTCTAACCCAACATGTCCAAGTTTTTTTGTGTGTGTGCAAAAACACAAACGTTTCTGTTCATTATTTTCTTTAGCTTAGAAAAAGTAGATAAAAGTACAAAATTACATAATCACTTGTAAATCTCCATCCCCGCTCCATCTCCCCCATAAAAATACGAAAGATTTTTCTCGCAACTAAACACTTTTTTGCTTATCTCTGTATTCATCAAGCTTATCATAGTTGATAAATAAGTTATGCCGTATTAGCCTGCGAAGCAAGCCCTGGAGGAAAGGAGGGGGATTAGGGAGAGCGCATTCCGCTCGCCCCAATCCCCCCTCCTCTCCCCACGGCTTGCTTCGCAGGCTAATGCCGTATGTATGTCAATGACAACCTATACTAAAATAATACAAAACTAGGTTTCAAGATACACATGTTGCTTTTTGCCAATGGCCAGTCGCTACAGTTCGGGTGCTTATGAAGCAACGTGAATGTCGCCATGTTGTCTGCGCTTGTTGCGGCTGCGCAGCATCAGGTAAGCTGTGAGGCAGACAATTGCCACGACGAGAACACCGCTGATCGCTACTGTAATCACCGTGCTCGCTGAGAGGGACTGGGGCACATTCTCTTCACCTGATCCAGCTGAGAAGAGAAAATAAATAATCAGCATAAGAGAAAGTTTCAATTGAGTACTGAAAGTAATTCTGGATTGCATTAGTTTTGCTCCACTTTGCTCTACGATTGGTTCAGAAGACTTATGCCTCAAACCAACTGCGACAAGCTGGTTTGCATTTTTCTCCGCTTTAGCCAATTAACTTGTTTTTACTTTGAGTTTTGATCGGCTTTTTCAAGATAGTTTCCTTCATTCTGATTGGTCTTTGGTTCTACACTGGCTCTGGTGTTGTGACACCTAATTACGGACAAATCTATACGAAATACAAGTTCTTTATCTGTTTTTGGTTTTTTTGTCTCACCTTAATGGCAAAAGCTAAACGTCTTTCTATTCTCTACAACTCAGTTTGAAAAAAAAATGTTTTCTCTTGGGATGCTTTCGATATTACTGCTCTTAATAGTTTGCAGCACGCCCGTCGCATCTGGACCCACGAAAAAGAAAATCCTTGCCGAGTAGTCCTCGCTAGCCCAAGTGATAGAGTATAATCCTGAGACGTGACTATGCCCCTTAAAAGGGATCTCAACGCATTCTGCATGAAACTTTACAACAACAAAAAAAAACAGTTAACAATCACAGAAATGAATGTGTCGTACTTTCTTTCTCTTCTTCATCGTTTCCAAAAACAAAAGGCCCCGTAGACACGTGATACACTTTCGTTTCGTCCATCTTTGACCTTCTTTTCCTGGAACTAGGACACGAGCTGTTGGATGGGCACTCGCACAGAGAAGGGCTCTTGTCTGCCAGACAAACCCTAAGATCGCAGTGGAAGTAAACCGGGTCACCTGCCTCAGCTCCATAGTACCTAAAGGACTGAATGGAGAACTCCTCTTTGGTGTCGTCATCAGTGCAGCTGTAGGACAAAGTGTCTCCGAGGTCATCACTTTTCTGCTTGTTGCCACAACTGTTTGAAAAAAGGAGATCAATACAAATCAATTGGTCTGATGTCAAAAATACATCTTACCCAAACCTTAAACAATATCGCGCCAGTAAAGGTGTTTTGGTAAAATCCGATCGATATGGCAGAGAGATTACATCTTTCCTTTGCCAAATTGCCTTAGTTGCATTGCCCTTAAGCTGAATGACCTTGCAGACAGTGGCTTCATTTTCATGGGTGGAAAAATAACGAATCCGTTGTGTCACATTTAAGGATGTTTCCTTGGTTGATTCAGTTACAAACGATATCCGTGATAAACAAAACAGAGAACGACAATTCGCTCCTATTAGAGATTCACAGGAAATTTATGTAGTTGGCAGTATATCGTCTTCGTTTCGCCATAGGTTTTAGGAACAACGTTGGATATTTCCCCCATTTTGTAACTGTGCTTCTCTGAATTTTCTCAGTCCCCATAACTTGGAGTGTCTCCATAGTTTTCAAGTATTTATAACTAGCTTTGGATCTAGGAGTGTTGCTCAGTTTTCTCCAGGCATCATGACCGGAGAGCACCTACCCTTCCTCTATTAGAGTAATTCTCCCGTCCGTTGAAGCCGGGTCTCTCCCCTTTGACGAATAGCAGTGAACAGGGAAAAGGTCAAGATTAGGTTCAGTGCTTGAGGTCTCAACCGAAGCCCGGAAGTACAACATTTTTCTCAGCGGAACTTCTTTGGGAACTTTTTCAGTGAAATTGGGGTCGTAAAACGCTTGGAGATAAAAGCTGAAAAACGCAGTGCCTAAGAGAGACAAGAAAATAAAATTCTGTTTTGAAGTCTATCCATTCCGTTTAGAAAACAATCGTGATTGCAAGGTGACTAAACTAATGCCAAAAAAGAACATTAATCTCGACGACTTTATCGTATCCCAATTACCCGATAGAATTTTACCCCGGTGATCATATTCGAGTGGGGATGGCGGAGTAATGAGACGCTTGCCTGCCACCACTGTGGCCTGGGTTCGATTCCCAGACTACAAGTAGGTTGAGTTTGTTGTTGGTTCTCGTTCTTGCTCCGAGGGTTTTCCTTGGGTACGCCGATGTTCCTCGCTCCAAAAGAACCAAAATTTTAAGTAAATTTCAATTCGTCCAAGAAACAGTGGGCAAGCACACCCCGCAGAATGTCCACTACTAAATCCCCATCATCAAAATTATTGTTCCCATTAAAAGATCTAAGTTTTCACATTTCCGCATTCAGAACCCTCGTTAATTGCAACGAATCGTTTTATCATTTCTACATACTTGAATCGTTGTTTTCCTGGTTCTTAATCGGCACAAAGCTGGCTGAGGATGTGTTTTGATTGTCATAAGAACACTCTGCATAGTACAGGTGGTCATAAACACGCAGCTGTCCGTTGCTGGTGTTTCCCTTTGTTGGTTTGATTTTCAAGACATATTTGATACTGCTGTTGGCAGGCTGTTCTGAAGACCAAGCGCAGTCGGGTAGTTTCAGGGCACTGTAGGTTACTCTCTCATTACCAAATAGTGGCTTGCATTCGTTTTTGCCCCTTAACTGCCATTCATCTACCTCCCACCCGTCAAGATCATCTACGCCAGTGATTTTGATATCGACCGTGTGATTGTTGTTGCAGGTAACTTTACCTTTTGGTACACCATGCATGTGGCTTGTCCCTGCGATAGAATGCAGTTAAATGTAAAGATAAATCAGATTAGAAAAAAAAAAACATTCAATCCAATTGATTGAAACAGTTCTTTTATGAAATTCCTCCAGAGTTGGTTCTGTATCTGAAGTAAAGAACCTTTGCAAACGGCTTCTCACATAATCATAACATCAGTGGTAGATCCAAGCCTTAAGTTAAGGGGGGGTGGGGGGTGGGGTTCGTTTTATTTTGTGTGTGTTCACCTGCCGGCTTTTCTTTTCTCTGCGTTTATTTTTTTACGCAAAATAAGGGTGGGGCAGGCCTACCGTGCCCTTCCCACCATTGATAATGCCGGTAATATTGACAATGATAATGACTGGGTTTGAGCTGTAGAATGAATCGGAATTTCACTCGGCGTCGCCTCAAGTAGTATTAAAAATCTTTCAAGTTCGTTGTGAATCTAGTCTACCATCTGCAAATCGAAAAAAAAAAGACTTTGAGTCTTACCAAGCTGGAAGACAATTGCAAATACCGCCAAAACAACTAGAGTCTTCATTCTTCACTGTGAATAGGTCGATATGTCCCGCTGATCTATTTCTCTTGAATATCCACCCCTGTTAAATCAACAACAGTATCCACCCCTGTTATAATCAACAACAGCAATAAACGAAAAAGGTTTGCAAGACACAAGTTCTTTACTCATAGCTGTTCGGGACGGTTGAAGCAATGTAATCTCTTCTCTGATCGATTCTATAGAAGATCATTCCACTGCGTGCCAAAAACAGCCCTTCCTCAGAGAAAAACTTCGATGAGTGAAGAGAAAGTCTGATTAACCTTCCAGATGAAAAGAACACAGTGTTTAGAATAATTAATGTAGATCACTCTCTAAGCAACTTTCACCGAAAGAAAAGAGAATCTGAAGTTTCCAATCTCAAATTAAACGAAAGACGATGTTAACATCATAAAATCACACTTAATTGTATTACTTAGACCACCGGAAATTCATATCTTCAACTCATTTAAACTCTTAGCATATTTGCCTAAACTGATCAATAAGTGAACAAGAGCAACACATGTCGCTGATTAATTTATGGTAAACATCAAAAGTTTTATAGAATTTAGAGAAAACGGCACTACTGACTTCTTCACAAAATACAAAAAGACATATTCTTCGATTTAGAGCCTCTCGCAATTTTCTAGCTTGGAGGACTGTATAGTCCTGTGGTCTAAGAGCATTTGTGAAGTGTTCGTATTGAAAATAATATTCAATTGAAAAGATGGATTAAAAGATCATGATCATTTCTTCGTAGACTGACCTAATGAATAGTTAGATGCGATGAATGAAATATTGTAAGAAGTGTTTGTTTAAGACTTTGCGTATTCGCTGGTTACCTGTTCCATTATCACGCGATGATCATAGCGAAAAGCTACAGAAATTTCCTTTATCTTCTGAAAAGAATCTAAGCTTTTTGACGGTAAGAACTACATATAATTCGACTTTTACACAGGGTGCAAAACGTCGTTTAATAGACGGCCATAACTACCTACACTGCCATAACGTTCCGTCGGTCTGGCTTTTTTAAGTAGTTCTGCTTTACCAAGGTTTGCCGGGATTATCTCAATTGTAATCACGAAATTCACAGAGAAACGTTTGTTTATACGAAGACACAATATAAGAATAAGTAGTATAAGTTTGTTAGTAAGATTTTATGACTCCTTATGTGGTACTTTTGGACATTTTATCTTCCAGTCCTTAGGCATAACTGTAACTGAGGAATTAAGAAAAAAGAGCCCATCGAACAAGCTAAGCCAAGGTGTGCGATAACATTGCAGAAGAGACACACCTTTCCACCTTGATCATCATTAAATCTAATTGACTTCAGTACTATGTTGTTTTCCACTGTTAAATTAATTTCCACAGGAATCTCAAAAAAACTATCCAAATAAAGACTCTGAACATACTGCATCGGTATAACAAAAGAAGTAGTTATTAACATCGGCTTAAGATCGACTCGCGTACTTTACTTATTTAAATAATATTACACTTGTTCTCTGCAGTTAAATACCACCTTTAAGATATAATTAGCACATGAAAGTGTTTGTGCTAAATGGACCCTACCTGACTTCATTTTGTTTGATATCAAGGCTTACAATTATTGGAAATTCCCTATCACTTTTGTAAGTTGTTTTTGTAATCACCTTAAGGTTCCACCTATCAGGAGGTTATTTAGCGTCGACCTACTTTCGCAAGTTGTTACCGAAATCTCCACGTGGTTTCGCCCATCAAGTAACTTTTTTCCGTCAACACGTTCATATCACTTTCGAAACTGCAATGATGCCGAAACCAAACAAACGCCCACCTTTTTACACCCATAGACTGACGTTTGGTTTACCCTTCAATCTCTAGGGTGTTTTTTTATTGCGAGAACTTACTAGGAAACATCTTTAAACCCGAGTCACACCCCCGCGTGGCAGATCAATAGGAGATCAAAGGTCCGCTGTATTAGAGAATGCTTTCCCGCCATCGTTTCTTCCGTTAAGCTGGAAATTCCATCATCATTTTCTGGCGAACTTGATTAAAACTTACGAGTTCGACCATAGGGACCAAGCGAAACTAATCGCCATAGATGAAGTACGCATGTAGAGCAACTGCTCTGTGTACTATCACTTGGTTAGCAGAAGTTGTTTTAGATTGTCTTCTCTTTCAGCACGCGTAGGAAATAGTCCTTTACTTTTTTTTAAATTTTGAATCACTCGTACTGCCGGCGTCGGGCTTTTAACGATAGTTTATGGAACTATTTACTTACTTAACGATTTGATGAATATATGAAAGTTCATATATTTTGAACTGCGGTTACAGATACGTATGATGCACGATCCTCGCAGTAGAGAGCGCTATTTATGCAATAGCGAAAATCAGACCTGAAAAAAATCAGGCCTGTACGGGATTCGAACCAGTATCGCAGAGGTCAGTGGTTCGAATCCCGTACAGGCCTGATTTTTTTCAGGTCTGATTTTCGCTATTGCATAAATAGCGCTCTCTACTGCGAGGATCGTGCGTCATACGTACTTACTTAACGATTGTTCTATGAAAACGAAACAAAAACGTTTTGCACAATCACTAAAAAATTAATTAAAAATAAAGCTGCAAAATGATCTGACTTACGGGTTTTGCGGCTCCTGTTCGCCTGACTTTTTTCAAGCTTGCTTCACACTGTAACCTAACCCCTATCGTTGCCACTGGGTGTCGAAATGGAATTTCCAAGGCGAGGTTATCATTCTTTATAGACTTTTTGCTCTGATCGACGGTGCCTAATTCAACAAGTGACGTTTTTTGTCTAAGTTTGTTTACATTCTATGATTATTGGAATCGATCATTTTCCTAATCAAATTAAAGTAAACAAAATTGTTCACATCTGAATAAAATTTGCAGAAGTATATTTACTCGAGTTTTGCTCAACCTGACCACTATACCATGTTTTACTTGTTAAGACAAGTCCTTAGTTGTATGAAATGGCATTTGATCAATTACAACATCCATTACTTAAATTATTACATAACTCGTTCGTTTTGTTTATTTAAACTGAAGTACGTGTTTTCGTGGGCGCGAATGACTCTAATACCAAATTAAATTGGCGAATATCGATGCCTTAATTATTTGTTTACGCTGGATGACGCAGCGGATACCTACATTCGTTATTTTTATCGGCAGAGACCTTGTCAGTTAATTCAGTAAAGTAATGGCAGGAAATAGAGACTGATTCAAAATTTCGAAATTGCGAGCAAAAAAATTAATATTTAAAATGATAGAGGAAGTTAATATTCTAATCCATGTGGCAACAAAGTGGTGGACCCAATTGGTGAGCAATAACGCCTTGATGAAATCTCAGTTGCTACAACAGAAAGTGCATCCAAGGGATGCTAAGACAAACAAAACATTTATTGGTTGTAGCAACTAAGTTGAAATTGTAAATTGGCCACCGTAACGAGTTAAAAAGCTGACGTTTCGAGCGTTAGCCCTTCGTCATTCGCTCTGACGAAGGGCTAACGCTCGAAACGTCAGCTTTTTAACTCTTTACGGTGGCCAATTTACAATTTCAAGTTAGTCGATAAAACCAAATTACCTTGTTACCCCAACCGACACAGCACCACAGTTTCTTTAGAAACTTTCACCCTTAAAACGTTTATTGATTGAGCCGAAGGCACCTACCAACATCAATTCAAGATTCTTGCACAATCTGAATTCTTGGAAAAGCTGGTGAGAGAATGAACTCCGACGCTCAAACAAGCGACTACTCGAAGTTGTCCTACAAAACTTGTCTTGGCGTCATTACCGCAGATGGAAACTATTTTGGCGCAAAGCCGAGTCGCAAAAAAGATATTATGCATGGTTGTCTTTGTAATGCGGAATTATATGGGGTGCATATCTCGCGATTTCCAAGGTTGGAAGAATTACCCATTGGCTGCAAGACAAAAATCCAATTGGAGTAAACGGTTCAAAGTCATCTGGAACGACTGGAAGGACCTTTGGGAGTTTTTTTTTTTCAAGTAAAATGTACTTTATTTGAGTGAAATTTCTTCATTCCAGTGCTCACCATTTTCACGTCTGTAGCTCTCCCCAGGCCAACTCATTATATCCGGATCTTTCATTTGAATACAGCGCTTAGACTATCGCGACAATACGCGTATACAGTATCCACTCACTGTGTTCCATTCATTCATTTTATTTGCCATTCCAGAAAAAAATTAACCAAATACAAAATTTATGATACATGAAAGATAAAAAGAACTATTCTAACTCAATTAACTTTCGTAAGAGGAAAGTTTCTGGTTAAACGCGCAATGCAGACTTGACTGAAACAAGAAATTAGTCTTCAATCGTGTATTGGAGGCGCTTTCATCTTGCGAACAGATCTCGCAAGAGTTGGCCTGATTTAACATATTGTTCGAAACTTTCCATTTCGAAGGGTACAATTTCCAATTGAATACGGAATTAATTCAAAATACTGCAAGGAAACTGTAAAATGACGAGCGGCGAATGTATTTACCGCAATTCGATTGACTATATGTTCAGGATGGCTAGACATATTCAGTAATCGAGGAACTTCGTGTTACAGGAAAAAGGTCGTGGCGCGCGCTGCATAAAGGCTGGAAATGGGCCTCTAACTTGTGAATTGAATTGTTGTCGATTATTCATTTTGCCAAAAGAAGTCAAAACATCTCACAAGACGCGAAGATCCCCGGATGTGACGGTAGGTAAATTCTAACCCTGTTTAACAAATACTCAAGTAGCGTCATCTGCATTTGAATAGCGACTATTTTCCCAACAGAACAAGGACAACAAATAAAGAAAAGAAAAAAGTGGTGAAAGGGGAAGGAAAACCTCAGCAAAGCGGTTTTACACTCAATTATTGTTTTAGGTGCTGAAAATTGAACATAGCCGTATCATTGAATAATAATTTCATAATTAACCAGTCATAATTCATGAGTATATGATATTTTCGGTACCGTGACCTATTCACCGCAACCTGGTTAGCTCAAGCGGTAGAGCGTCGGACTGCAGTGCGGGAGGTCGAGGGTTCAAGCCCCAGATCGGAGCAACATTCAGGGTCTTAAAGTAACTGAGGAGATTGTGCTACCTTTCTATTATTTCAAGAAATGGACAGACATTCTAGTCTCCTCAGATAGGGACGAAAAAATCGTAGGCCCCGTCTCCTGCATATTCTCAATACTGGTTAGCAAGGGACGTTAAAGAACCCACACACTTATCGCAACCCTAACCCTACCTTGGCCTGTTTACTGAAATTGGGGTAGGGGATAGGGAAATAACCTTGTAAATTGTAAATTTACCTGCGTTTGGCAAATATTTTAATACTATTCAGCATTTTACTAGCTCTCCGCCTCTGTTTGCAAGTGTTTGTAACAATCAAGTCAACGAGGTGTGAGGGCAAAGTCCTGTAGTTCTTCTGCGGAAGTTTTCAGTTATTTTTGAAATTTCAATTGCAGATGTGCAAGCCTAGATGGCGTCAAACAGAAGCAAACACTTGCAAACACTGCTAAAATGATAGCGACTCGATCAATCAAAGGCTCCGTGTTTGTTCCATTTAATAATTGTTGTTTCTTTTACAATCTTCCGGCCCACCGCTGTTTGTGGGTCCTACGTACGTTGATACTATTGTGGCTCGGTTTGGCTGCGGTAAGCTTCTACGGCATTTATTTACGCTGTAGCTGTATAATTTCAAACGTGTTATTTCATAGAAACGGCTTGATTTCCCAGTTTACAATGGATTTAGTGTTTTCATAAGCATGCATCCTGAAAAGTCGAGTGTGATGAGAAGCGTGTTGGAAATGATGTCGTCATGATAGATTTGTTTCATGATCCATCATACAGACTCTCCAGCCTGATTACATGAGCAGGGCTTACCTGGTTGGCCAAGCTGGCGAGATTTTTGGAGAGTTCTCGGCCCTTTTGCTTAACGGAGCAAAAATTAACTTCGTGATCATATGACAACCGAGCTAGCCCGTCTAGCCGGGACACCAATATCGTCAATAACTCCCTAACATACTATAAACAAAATCAAAACAAACCGGGATATATATTCTTCGGCTGGATGGGCCACTTGACTCGAGCACAGACTTTACCTTTATCTAAAATCTGCTGAAATATTGTCTCCTTTCTCAACGTAGAGAGAGTGTGTGTTAGACGCCAACGTTATTTTGACAGGTGAAAACTCAGCGAAGGACTAGAATGTCTTGAATGAGTTGCCAGTAATCGGATCCTTATGCTTTTGCAAAGATTTCTGGATTGATTGATTGATTGATTGATTGATTGATTGATATCTGTATTGCACGTTGCTAGAAGGAAAGTTATGGCAAAGGTTGTTTCGACGTCCAAATCAAAGATTGCCTGTGGCCAACTCGTGAAAAGAGGTTGTGAACTTGTAATTAGTGGTCTTGGAGCAATGAAAGGTTGCTTTCATACAGTAGATAATCCAGACCTTGAGCTAAGAATGTGAGGGGGGCGGGGACAGTTATTTTGTGTGTGTGTGTGTGTGTGTGTGTGTGTGTGTGTGTGTGTGTGTGTGTGTACACCTGCCGGATTTCCTTCCTTCTGTGATTTTTTTTACCCAAAGTAAAGGAGGGGGTGGGGTCTGGGTCTG